GCAGGGTAGTCCTTCAAGGTATAGACTGGCCTGGGTCTGATGAACAGCACCAAAGAAATATTCCCAAGGGCCCTTGGGGTGAACTGCCATACTGTAGCATCCCTCTTTCCTCAGTCCTACGCCCCCTAATAGTAGCCCATGGTGGGTCTGCCACCTGGGAATTTAACTATAGTATTTTTAAACCAGTGCCTATAACTCTATGTACTCAATGTCTTAGTTTCCTAGGGCTGCTGTGACAAAGTACCACAAACTGGGTGACTTTAAACAACAGGAACTTATTCTTTCACACTTCTGGGGGCTAGAAATCCAAAATCAAGGTGTTGGCTGGCTCATGCTCCCTCCTGAGAAGAATCTGTTCATGACTCTCTCTTAGTTTCTGGTGGCTGCTGTCAATCTTTGGTATTTCTTGCCTTGTAGATGCGTCATTCCAAGTTCTGCCTCTGTCTTTATATGTAATTCTCACCTATGGGTCTCTCTGTCCTCACACAGCCTACCTATTTGGACACCAGTCTCTGGATTTAGGCACCACCACAATCCTGGATGACCTGATCTTACTTGGTTACTGTGCATAGACTGAATGTCCAAATATAGTCACATCCACTGGTACAGGAGGTTAGAACTCAAACGTATCTTTCTGGGGAGACACTGTCCAGCAAACTCAGTAAATTCTTGTTTAATGGTAACAATAACATATGGAATGGTTTACAGGTAAGTCCTGTTGGATCTTCTTAATAATCACAATATGTTTTATACATTATAAGCATTTTGGAGAGTGGTTTATTATGAAATTCAGAGCCATTGTCTGGTCATGAACCTGTAACTTCCAAACTTAGAGGGGACTGCACATGATTCCAGTATTTGATGAACAAGCTGTGATCACTGTACTCACCATTCATGAGTGTCTGGATTCCCGCTGTGACCCCACTAAGCCTTCATCTCACCCAGATGGCAGGGAGGAACACCGCAGCAGTGCCCAGACACAGACGTGTTACCCTCATGGGCGTGTCTAGGATGAGTAATTAGAGAGGGAGCCAGTTATGTGCTCAGACTGTGGACTGTGAAACCCACACCGGTGGGTTCGAG